GTACTCAGAGCCCTCTCTGTGGGCACACGCGCCGTCGCCCCAGTCCTAGGCCTTCAGCTGGGTTTTATAAAACCTTTTCGCTTTAGGCCTCTGCCGCCGTGTGCAAAAAAAAAAAAAGGTTCAATCAATCAGTCAATTTCAACATCTCGCAGGGAAAAAAAAATCTTGCAAAGTTGGAATTGATTGATTGAACTTTTTAGTCCCACTCAGTCTGCCGTTACCACCACAGCCACGCCCACCCAACGGGCCACACCCCCCCAATGGGCCACACCACCTGGCACCCGACGATGCATAAGTGGGTTTTGGATTGCAGTTTGGGCACTGGGTCTCTAAAAGGTTCGCCATCACTGTTCTAAGGGATTATTTGTGCTTTCCAATAAGAAGTATAGAACACTCTAGCAGCTGTTACCATGTACAAAGCCAGATGAGTATATGTTCCAAGATTATAAGGTTTAGTAATATTTAGTAAATAATTAGCCAATAACCACCCAGAGTCACACAGGTGAGATGGATGATACAGAAATTCCTTGTAGAGTGCCTTGCGTTGAGGAAACAATGCATACATTGTTATGTCTTATGCATAGGCCCTCTAGGAGTAATGAGTCAAGGAGGATTATCTACTGGGTCTATTCAGAACCAAAGGCAAAAAACCCTTCTAGATCCAAGAGACCTCAAAACCCACAGCCATTTGCTCCTACTAGGGTTGAGTCTGAGTCTGCTCCTCTCCCTATACACCCTCCCCAACTCCAAACACTGAGTCAGAACTTGATCACATCACTTAGAAATGCAAACTGGGTATCATCAGCATATTGATGATGCCTACCTTCACACCAATGGATGACCTCACTCAGTAGTTTCAGGTAAATTTTAAATAAGAGCAGGGAGTAAATAGAATATAGAGGTACTTCATAAAATAAGAGGTTATTTTAGGGCTGCACTTCTCCTCCCCCATCAACACCGACTGGGATTAGTTCTAGAGCAGGGGTGTCAAACTCGCAACGTCACGTGACGTGTCACAACGTATCGTGACTTTTTTGCCATTGCCGGCAATGGGGTGAGCGCGGTTTCGCTATGATGCATCCGGCCTGCGGGCTGGCAGTTTGACACCCTGCTCTTGAGGAAGAAAGAGAAGCACCAGAACCAGCAGCACTTCTCTCTCTCTCAATCCCATGAGCTCATCCAGAAAGATACCATGAATGATGATAAGGAAGGTTGCTAAGAAATCAAATTCCAGGATGGACATACTACTTCCATCCTAGTCGCACACCACAACCACAAGCATCCCAACACAAGTAGGCCTTGCTTAATGATTGCCCTGGTTAGTGACTTTTCAAAGTGACAATGGCCCTGAAAAGTAACTTTCTGACTGATTCTCAAGCATACACACTGTCCCAACAGTCACGTGATCACCATTTGGGTCCTTCACAGCCAGGTTCTGATAAGCAGAGACAATGGAAAAGCTGACTGTAAAATCGCAAGTGGTGGTCATGTTATATCTTGCTTAATGACAATGTGATTTGCTTAATAACTGCAGTAAAAGTGAGGTCAAAAACCCATCTTGATCACATAATGTTTTGCTTAACAACCATGCCTTGGTAAG